TCAGTACAAACAGATGTTTAGATTTCATAGACGTGGAGGATATTTTTTGTGGACTCAGACAACTCTCTGCCTTGGGATTTGGATTGTCTCTCCTCAAAGAAAACTCCTCCTAAAAATATATTCCCTCTACTGAGCCATTCTTCTCTAGAAGAATCAAAGACCTGCCAAGGCAGGTGGAGGAGTTTGGACTTGCCTCACTAGCTAGTTGGAAAGACAATTGGTCTATAGAGACTGTGATGGGCTGATATACTAGAATCTAGCACGAAGGGAAACAGATAGAACTTAAGTGGCATGCCCGCTGGTATTAGAGGACCAGGATTCAGGACCCTGCTCTTCTGTTGCCAGTTCCACCCCTAACTTGCTTATGACTTTGCACAAGTCACTATCCATCTATGACAATTGACCCATTTGATAAGTGGGCCAATAAACACACCTTGCCTTAGGGACATGGTGGTGGCTTGTTTGCAAAGCATTTTGAGATCCTCAGATGAAAGGTAAGTATTATTCAGGTTAATTATGGTGGAAATGCTTGAGACATGCTGCTCCCTATCAGTTCTCTCCGTTCATTCACTCAGAGCCTCAACCCAGTTTCTAGACCTTGCTCAAGGGAAGGGAAATCGTGTTATATTGCACTTACCTGAGATTTCTAGGGGTTCAGAGGCACACAACTTTATTTTTAGGCAGCAACTGTACATCTTATACCACAGAATATGCTAAAGGCTTCAAATACATTTTTCCAATGAGAGAAGATTAGAGGTCATTGATGTGATGATTAGGGCTATAGCTGGACAACTTATGAATTCTGATTTATATTGTGAAGTTGTGTTCTGAAAAACTGTTTTATCGTGTGCCTTTATGTACATGGATCCACCACTGCTGACAGGCACAGTAGCAGGCACACACCAGACAGGGAAAATGGGAAATACTTAAGGTTAACAACAGTACTTCGACCTCACAAAGGTTATGCTAAAAAACAAAACAAAAAACAGCTGCATTCTTTGAAAAAAAGAAAAGAAAAAAAACAGTTTAGCTGATTCCTCTGAAGACAGGAGCTGTGGAAAGTTAACTGGGAGTAAAACAAGGGACCAGGTGCCCGGCAAGAGTAGAAATCATAGGAACAAAGGGAGTGAGACAGGAGGAAGTGTGGGGCAAGAGACAACAAGATCACAGGAACTGAATAAGGGGCTCCCACCGGAAGGAGATACCAGCTAGCATGTAACAGCCTGCATGAGGAGGGGACACCCTCTCTGCCTGGCTTCCTGGACCCAGATAATTCCTCAAGGGCTTACAAGGGAAGGATGAGCTAGAAAGTGAGGGACATTGTAGTTTCAGATGTTTATTGTTTTGTATGATCTGTACTCTCCTGTGTTTTACATGACTAAGTACAGAAGAGCACAAAGGTGCTAGACTGAATAAAGTTGAATGCTGCATAACTGCTGCACGGCTCTGAGAGTGTTAAACTGTCAACCAGAAACTTCACACCTTTTGGGGCTGAGTTCTGGGAGAGCAGGGCCGGTGCAACCCATTAGGTGACCGGCCCTACAATTTGGGGGGCAGCGACCGCGGCGGTATTTCAGCGGCGGGACCTTCTGCCGCCTCTGTGGGGGGCGGCATTTTGGGGCAGGACCTTCCGCTACCTAGGGCGGCAGAAAAGCTGGCAGCGCTCCTGTAGGAGGGGGATGTGTTTAAAGTAACTGGGGTAGCTTGGAAGTCAGTATTGGCCCCTGGGACCTACAGCAGGTGGACTGAGGAGCCCCATTACCTTGAAGTAGTAACAGATGAGAGTCAGCACTCAGGAAATGTGTCAGAGAGACCTAGGGAGGAACCAGTCCTGCAGCCAGCTGATGCTCTATGCTTAACACACCCCAGAGATCCAGAACACAGAGGTATGGATTCTGCTCACAGCTGTCCTAGGGGCTGGCTAGGAGGGGACACTTGCTAGGATCTGGAATACTTGACAGCTAGAGATATTGGTTATGTTAGAATCCTTTGGCACTGAGCAACAGGAATACAGAATAATGGCCATTTTGTAAAGGGGGCTCACAACAAAGTGGTCAATTGACAATGACAACTATAATTGTCACAAACATGATATGGAAGCAGTTACACATCCTACTAAAACATGATCGGTCTCCAAGGACTGTGCATTCCCACCCATCCATCCACTGCATGCTGCCGTTTGACCTTTAGCTCTTATTTGCATTGGACTTTCAGGAAGAAAATAGAACATTTGGATACAGCGCCAAGTCTGGCTTTTGGCAACACGATGTGATCTTGCAATCTTCAGATATTTTGATTCGTTTCAGCAGGAAGTCACGCAGTCTAAAATAATGCGACAGTCTGAAGTAAGTCCAACATCATGTCAGTGTATTTTTATGCCTATTGTGGTTCTGAAAAAACAAGAACCCACTTGTCCTCTCCCACACAAAAACATGGGGGAGGGAAAAAGGCTTTCTTGAAACGCCAAGCGTGTGTGTGTGTGTGTGTACAAGGGACAGTTTTGCAACCACACCAGACACAGGGGCGCCAAAGGAATAGGTGGCACTACTGAGCCAGATCAGCAGGTAGCTAATTAAAGCCAGTGCTTAAAAACTACAATTCACGCTACGTCAAATACTTTTGACAGGTAAATCCCATGGTTCCAAAGCCTATGAGCTGTGTTGTCTTCATGCTATTACCCAGCCTCCACATCTCCCCTGGCAGCAAAACTCACTCAAGCCTGGATTCATGAACATATGCATTCCTACTCCGCAAATCCCTTAAACCCATGCTTGTTGTCCCATTGAAGCCAATGGGACAAACACAGGCTTGAAGTTAAGTAGGTGCTTACGTGCTTTTCTCAAAAGGGATGACTTAAGCATGTGCTTAAGTGCTTTCCTGAATGCGGATCTCAAGTGCCAATGCACTACCTTTCTGTTCAAGAGGAGTAGGGAACAATGGACAATGAGCAGCTTTGGATTTCTGCTTGGAAGTCCATCAGGTAACCAGAGCAGCACGCCACCCACCCATGACAACCTGGTGAGGGGTTCTTACAGGCCCAAGTTCCACCCCCATGCTGTTTGCACAGCTCTAGCTGGTTGCACTGGATTTCTTCTTTCCTGCTCCACAGGCTCCCAATTTTCTTTAAATTACCTTTTTGTAACTGTCACTGCACCTCACTCACTCACGGACAACGCACATCATTTGAGAACGCAGACAGCAATATGACTTGTATGAGACTTGCTCAATTTCATATATTTGTCATGCTGTTTACAGTGAGGTTTTTTTAATTTCAAGCATTGCAAAGTTTTTCTTATGTTACATAGTGACAGGGCTTTCGGTAGCAAGCTTTCTAAAATAATTAGAGATGAATCATTATAATGAAGCAGCGGTTCTTACATCTATTAGGACAGTTATTTTAAAAATGTTTTGATGAATCATAGAGAAGCGCTCACAAACAGTGGATTATACCATGTTCATAAATATATTTCTTAGGCAAAAATAAGTTTGAGAAAACAGCAGAGGCTTTTAACACTTTAATTGAAAAATATTTACAGCAGATGTTAGAAATGTTATGTTACAATACTGATAACATGCAAAATGGTGCTGAATCTTTATTTTGCATTTCACAATTCTCTTTCAGGTTTTCCAACTGGTTCTATTAATTTGCAGTTTGGAAGTGTTCAGTCCTGAATTTTCAGAATGCTTCTTTTCTCCAGATCATTCATTTCCTTCAATATCAGGGCAACGTTGTACCTTAATTCTTGAAACTTTACAACTGGCACCTGAAACATACGATTTGTTAGAACTGTGACTCATCTGGCTAATACACCCATACAGACAGAAAACATTCTAGAACATCAGGCCCATATAGGTTCAGACAAGAGTTTTATAGATTTTAAGTAAAAGATCAGAGGCTAACAAAATGCTAGGTAATAACATAAGAATGATCACAGTGAGTCAGACCAGTGGTCCATCTAGCTCAGTATCTGTCTTCTGAGTGGCCGGTGCCAGATGCTTCAGAGGGACTGAACAGAACAAGACGATTTATCGAGTGATCCATCACCTATGGTCCAGTCCCAGCTTGTAGCAGTCAGAGGTTTAGGGACGCCAAGAGCATGGGATTGCATCCCTGACCATCTTGGCTAATAACCATTGATGGACCTAACCTCCATGAACTTATCCAATTCTTTTTTTAATCCAGTTATACTTTTGGCCTTCACAACATCCCCTGGCAACAGGTTTCACAGTTTGTATGTTGTGTGAAGAAATATTTCCTTATGTTTGTTTTAAACCTGCTGCCTATTAATTTTATTGGGTGATGCCTGGTTCATGTGTTACGTGAAGGGGTAAATAACACTTTCCTATTCACTTTCTCCACACCAGTCATGATTTTAGAGACCTCTATCAACCCTCCCTAGTTGTCTCTTTTCCAAGCTGAACAGTCCGTCTTTTTAATCTCTCCTCATATGGAAGCAGTTCCCATACCCCTAATCATTTTTGTTGCCCTTCTCTGCACCTTTTCAAATTCTTATATATCTTTTTTGAGCTGGAGCAACCAGAACTGCACGCAGTGTTTAAGATGTGGGCACACCATGGATTTATATAGAGGCATTATGATATTTTTTGTTGTATTATCTCTCTCTTTCCTAACGGTTCCTAACATTCTGTTAGCTTTTTGGACTGCTTCTGCTGCACATTGAACAGATCTTTTCAGAGAACTATCCACAATGACTCCAGGGCTTCTTTCTTGAGTGGTAACAGCTAATTTAGACCCCATCATTTTGTATGTACAGTTGGGATTACATTTTCCAATGTGTATTACTTTGCATTTATCAACATGAAATTTCATCTGACATTTTCTTGCCCAGTCACCTAGTCTTGTGAGATCCTTTTGTAACTTCACAGTCAGCTTTAGACTTAACAGCTGAATGTGTGTTGGCTAAATCAACTGTGTGACTATAAAAAAAAATCACTACACTACTTCTGTGCAGGGAAATCAGTCTGGGAATACACGAGTGAATGCAACTATTCCCAATTAGGCATTTCCACTGAAAAAGTTGAAGCATCTGATTTCCCTGAGGAAGCCACACAGCCAGAAGAGCAAAAAACAGGGCTTAAAAAGGAAGGATACAGGAAAGGAAAAAGACTAGGCAGGAGAGGGAAGGGAAAAAAGTCTATGGACTGATTTATTTGGGGTGTGTGGGTGATTGCTGCAGCTTCTCATGGCTCTCCTGTTAAAAGCAGCATCAGATAATTTTAACAATGTCACAGAAGAGAGGAAAAATAGCAAGTGAATTACTTTTTTTTCAGGCACACAATGGGAGTTTTGCTGCAGAAAGTGGAAGCTCTGTGTCCGGTTAGGGTGCTTTTGGCAAAGCTGAGGAACAGACAACATCAAGGAAATCACGGCTAGCAATGACTAACAGGAGAGCAAGCTTCCAGAAAACACCCGCTGAACAAAAGGAAAAACTAAAATTACAATAAGATCCATTTGTGAAAGCACGAAGTACAATAGGTGCTGCATAAGGCTGGCATCAGCATTTTGTAAATGACATTCTAATGTTAAAGGACATGTGAGCTGGAGGCTAGATAACACATTGGGGATCAGAGTTCACCTCTTGAGCATCCCATGGCTGGCAGGTGATGGGAGCGCTCAGTCTCCAGGATCTGGGAGAGTTGTGACATTCTGACAAGAAATAGGGAGGAGTGGCTCCACAGGGTCTTTTGAAGGACTGGGAAGAGGGCAAAGATGGGGAGGCCAAGTAGGCCACACAAGATGGCCTACTTGAGTTACATGGTACTTTGCACTATATCTACTACAGATGCAGGCAAGCAGTTTGTTGCACCTCTGAAGATTATAAGATGACTTTGTGGCTCTTCAAGGTGAGGAAGCTTTGATGGTTCCTAGCTGTGCTGGTTTTTAAGTGCCTACTAGACCAGGAGTGGGCAAACTTTTTGGCCCAAGGGCAACATCTGGGAATAGAAATTGTATGGTGGGCCATGAATGCTCACAAAATTGGGGTGCGGGAGGGGGTGAGGACTCTGGTTGGGGGTGCAGGCTCCGGGGTGGGGCCAGAAATGAGGAGTTCAGGGTGAGGGAGGGGGCTCCGGGCTAGGGCGGGAGAGTGGGGTGCGGGATCCGGCTGGGGGTGCGGGCTCCGGGGTGGGGCTGGGAATGAGGAGTTTGGGGTGTGGGAGGGTGCTCTGGGCTGGGGCGAAGGGGTTCGGAGGGCGGGAGGGGATCAGGGCTGGAGGTTGGGGTGTGGGAAGGGGTGCAGGCTCCGGCTGACGTTGTGGGCCAATGGGAGCTGCGGGGGCAGCGTTTGGGGCAGGGGCAGCATGCAGAGCAGAGCCCCCTGGCTGCCCCTACGTGTAGGAGCCGGAGCAGCGCCATGCCGCTGCTTCCAGGAGCCACATGGAACAGCCCCCGACCCTGCTCCCTGGCTGGAGCGGGGCAAGCCCCACATCTCGCTCCCCAGTGGGAACTCGAGGGCGGGATTAAAACCGCTGGCGGGCCGGATCTGGCCCATATTTTGTCCACCCCTGCACTAGACACTCTTCTGTAACTTTACAAAAGCACAGAAAAATTTGGAAAAACCCACATAAACTGAAAGCAGGGCTGAAAGTTTGGGCTCTTGCTGCAAGAGAACACAATCCAGGCTGAGTAAACCATTCCCTTGTGACGTCCCAAGACCAGGAACAGAAGGTATCAGCCTAGGAGAGCATTTCTGTGTACAAAGACTGCTGAGTGTTCATAATGGCTTGATCAGGACTGGAACTTCTGTGCTATTTTTTATTCAAAACTAGTGGCAAAAGCAGCTTCTGCACATGTCAATATAAACATATCAGTAGCTTAGAGAAAGCAACACATCCAAGCCCGGGATCTATTCTTAGGACTACTCTACTCCCCACTAATAGGAAGAAAGTGTGGGGTCAGTGGATAAGGCATAGGACTGGAAGTCAGGGAGACGTGTTCTAGTCCCAGCTCTGCATGGGTTGCTGTGTGAACCCATGTTCTCTGTACCTCCTTTCAGCTCCTAAATGGATATTATTTGTATTACCACAGTGTCTAGGAGCCCTAGTCAGGGATCAGAACCCCACCTCCACGTCCACAGCTGAAAAAGGACTATGCAAGGACTAAGTATTACAACTTTGGTCAGAGGAACATACCTGGAAAGCAGGTGTTGGGATATACTTATAAACTGTGAGAAGGGAAAACTGAGGCAGTGGGATCTTCACAGCAAAATCACAAAAACATGAGAACAGCTGTGATTATCTAAGGTAAGTGTGAAAGAAGAGGAACCGCTCGGCACAGGCCAGCATTCAGGATCATAGCAACAGGAAGCATTATACTACCCTCTGCCTAAAGAGAACTGCCCACCCACACAACCTACTCCCATCCAAATGCCATTAGCACATGACAAACATGATGAGAGTAGACAGACTACTATGTCTAGGACATCTTAACCAATAGAGAAGTGTCAGAACCAGATGAAGGAGAAATGCTTCACTGCAGTGAGTGAGTAGCCTACACTTCATACAACTGGAATGCATAATGAAACCTATGAAGCAGTGAGGGCAGTCCATGAAAGGTGGACAATACTGCCCAGGACTGCAAGAGAATTTTACTTAAGCACTTTGAAGACCATATACTTCCGAACATCAACACACTGGACTGTATGGAGGTAGCCCTACACCATCCAACACAAGCCTACAGAACGGAGAATTTCTAGTGAAAGAAGATCCTTCAGACCAGCTTAGTTGACCAATGAAACATTCCTAGTGTACACTAATGTTGACCCTAGTTGCGGACAATAGATATCACGTTACACTTGTTTTAGACCCAAAGAATCCAACGATGAAAGAAGAAATACAGTACTACCAAAAAAGATTATCTTTGCAGAGATAGCAGAGACTTCAAAGCAGCTCATCCAATCTCAAAATATTTAACAAACATATTCTTCCCTGACCCCCCCAAAAGACCACAAACCAAAAATAACATTACAGTAATCTTTCCTGGTCTCAACTAAAGCCACTTATGGAAATTCAGACTTAAGCCGTTACATTTTTTGTTGCATCTACACAAATTTGATACATAAGTTAGTAAACACACAGACCCCCAGCTATTAGAGTGCCATCAGCAACGTGGAAACTCTATACAAGAGATTTTTGGTAACCAGTTTCCAGACTCCTTTTTATGCTGGTGTGACAATTAGAAGAATAACTTACATTTCACTTTTAAAAATGTCAACAAGTTCATACACGTTGGGATTTGAAGGAATTCACACCCCTTTTTTAAGGACCATAAAAAACTGACACTGGCCTCCAGTCTGCTTGAATGCACAAATGAGGCAACTTTTTTATTTTTAGAAGCAAGATGGTGACTTAAAAACATCAAATATATTTAAAACCAAGGAGTTTTTGTTTTTGTTTTTTTTTAAATAATTTACATTTTACTGTTCAGTCACAGCCAGAACTTTCTGAACTTTCAGACTGTTTGGAGAAGTATTAGAGTTAAAAAACTCGGAGTCTATTCATGTTCTGTAAATTGGGAAGTAGTTATGGCAGATAATGCCTTAGGTATAATAATGCAATTACATTACAATGGTGTACTATCAAGGCAGTTATGAAAAAATGTGGCCGCATGACTTTATGCAAAATGCACATTCAGATAACATTAAAAACAGCACGCTGGCTGTATTCCTATTTCTCCCCCCCGTTCTTCTGGAGGTGAATAAGAAGGTTAAACAAAGTTTTATGAACCCAGTCACTTAACAGGATGTTTGTGTTGATTGACAAAATACAATAAAATATGTGAGAACCAGTTTCTCCTTCAAGTTATCTTCCAAACTGAGGTTTCTTTGTTCCCTGCTAGTTAGCATCCTAACCACCAGGGGTAAAATCCGCTCATCAGATCCATGGGCTGGATTAGAGATAAGCTGCAGAAGTGACTACTTATCCTGCTGAAATGTACTAGCATGGCTTATCCAGATGCTTCCATGCTCCAAATAAGGATCCTTGCAGCCTATGCACATTACTGGAGGCCCCAATGGATCTTCAAAAGGGCATGTGGTCTGGCCAAAACAAAGGGGCCTTGAGTCCCTGATTAACTGAACTACAGCGGTATAGTAGGTGGTACGGAGAATACACTCCTTACACTTTGTCTTCGCTACAAAATGGCATTGTGTTAGAACACTGCTGTGAAGAGACCAATTAGCTAAGAGGATGCAGACCATGATTTTGCAGTTGGTGTACAGAAGGAGGATTAATATTCAGCATCATGTCAGCCCCATCATATTTAAACCTTGATTCGGGTAGGGTTTAACCATGGCTAGCTGATATGATAGAGATGACTTATCCTTGTCTCAAAGTCCTGGTTAGCATCGTTAGCGAATTTGACTACTCACAGTCATATTCTCACATGACATTCACTAGCGAAGTGATGCCCTTAGTTAGAATAACTCAATGGTTTTCAACCTTTTTTCATTTGCAGACCCCTAAAAAATTTCCAATGAAGGTGCAGACCCCTTTGGAAATCTCAGTCTGTGGACCCCTAGGGGCCTGTGGCCCACAGGTTGAAAACCACAGGATACAGTAACCATCTCAGATGTGATTACACTTGGAAAAAAGATGGACAAATGCATAATATATGTCCACTAATGTCAAGGTCTTAAAGCAAAGGCTAGACAAGCAGATCATTAATGAGGCTGAAGCTATGGCTACATTACAGAGCTTACATGGTTATGGAAATGAAATGTCTCTTGTGCGTGGTTTACGCAAAAATTGCACCCATATTCCTCACTTCACTTGGAAGAGACTCATTTTTCAGCTTGAAGAAACGAATCTAATGGATTTATCTTTACCACTACAAACTGCAAAGAGCCAAATGGGGGCAGTGGTCTATTAATGCTGCCATACCCCTTGTGAGACTAAGAAGTTCCTTCCACAACACGAGTCTCCTATCTCCTATCACACGTTTGCTAAGCGTAGCATGGACCATCAGTGAAGTGAGAGGCATTCAGCACCTGATTGTGACTCATGCAGCTGAGTAGTAAAAGCGTCATGGTTTTTTCATTTACACGACAGGCAAGCAACGTGCCACAAGATGTTGCAGTCCCCCCTTCTTTATTTAACCTCTCAGCGCCAGCAAACATGGCTTGAGACAGAAGGGCCAGCAGATCAAAGGGCATATAACTTTTGTGTGTGTGCAACAGAATAATTTTAAAGCACTATTCATTGTGGAACAATCCTTTGGATTAATTATCTTGGTTTCCCAGTCCAAACACAAACATGGCTGAGCTAGCAGGTCACGGTATGTGCATGTTTGGGCACAAAGGAAACTCAGAAGTGGAGAATGTTTGCCTACATGAATAAGGCACTTTGAACCAGGAGACAGATTTACCCCTAGATCTGGTACCAACTATTGGAGGGGCTCTGACCTCGTGTTGAAATCCTGCTCACAGCCAGTTCTGCAGTACCCAGATCTAAGTGGCTGGTGGATTAGGATTCAGAATGAGATATGCTGCTTGTGCATGGTGATCTGCATGCACTAGAGGAGACCCAGCAGCAGATCTCTTTGACAGGACAGCTCCACCTTTAAAAAGGTGCAGAGTTGCATTGCTGACTGCCCTTTTGGTGTCTGATATCCCCTCTGGAAAGAAAAAACATGGAACCCCGAATCCAATCCTGGCAGTTACGGGAAGGAGGAACTGATTTTCCAATAGATTTTTGAAAATATTTGTAACTGTCAGTTGGGCTCATTTATTTGCGTAGGGTGAAATTCACTCCTGTGCAGAAGTTTAGCACAAAGCCTATGCACCACTTAAGTCCCAGGTAACACCTCAATGTAGGGCTTAAGTGGAGTGTAGTCCTTGAGCTGGCCTCTCTGCATAGGAATGAATTTCATCCTTTGTTATATGGCCTCTTAAAGACTTCACAGTGTAGCAAATCACAGTCAGGCCTTTCCAAGCAGCTTTATGTTACGGCTTTCTGTGAAACAGTTTTCCACGTTAAACACAGTAAAGGTTGTGAAGCTAAACATTTAATCCAATACCTGGCGCATAACCACCAGATATTTATGTATGAATTGAAGCCAAAAACACTAAAAGGTGAACGACTCATGCAACACAGCGTTATTTATAGAGTGCAACATTCTATTACAAAGGTTAAAAGTACAGACAAGTTCATGCCATTTTCTGGGAAGGCATTATGTACAATGTCAAAAAGAATGCCCTTGCTTAATTGGAAGTAAAAAAGGCCCCACAGCTTTCTGCTCTCTTTCTAGAAGCAGGATGTGTATTAAAGAGAAAATGAGTAAAGATACTTGATAACTATCTTCTGTGGCAAAAGTAACAGGCTTAGTGGGGCATCATGCATTTCATAAATTGCTTCAGTAACTTCCCAGCCATCAAAAACCATTGTCTTATCTTAAGATTAAAGTCAATAATAAACTTATAAAGTGTTAATCACCAGAAATTATGCAATAGTGCTTTGGAGTGATTCATATTTCTTTGGAAAACAAAGTTTCAACAAAACATGCCCAAGAAGAAGATAAGAAATCATTTTGGCTGGAGTTTTGTAATATACTGTGTGTGGCTGCACAGAAATCAGAATATACTAAAGGGAAAAAAAGTTCCAACAAAAATGAATTGTCCATGAAAGCTTTAACATTTTAAATAGCAATTTAACTTTCTAAACGGACTATAAAGTGGATCTCTCTCTTTATCTATTAGGATAACAAGACTTACTTCAAAGCGATGAGCTGTCCCATCCGAAAGCTTCAGCAGCATTAAAATGGACGGTTGCAATGCCCGGGCCAGTGAACTGAAATTATTTACATGATTAGTATTAAAATAGTACACATTTGCAACGCTATTATACAGCATTATAAGTTAACCCTTTCAGGTGTCCGAGAGAGGTCCCATATAGCTCACATGAATAATTTCCAAACATTTCAATCAAGCATTCACATTTGGCTGAGTAGGAAATTCAGAGGAACACAAATTAACAGAACTCTATCAAATTCACTTTCATATGGAGGTAGCAGACTAAAAAAGGAGAAGGAGCTTTTAGATTTAAAAGGAAATGTATTCCAACTTGCAATCATTACAGATAATAAGCCAAAGTCAACCCTGGTATAATTCCACTGATTTCTACAGAGATACATTAGGGATGAAAATTGCCCAAATACTGTTAGCAAAAAAGAACCCAGACCATCTTCACTAAGCAACAGTAGCCTAAATCCTTCCATTCCTCCTTTGCTCTAAACTGCAGCCCCAGCTGGGGAATCAAGCTCTCCTGGAGACTGTGCTAAGTTTGTGGCTTGCTATTTTATTCTAGAGTCTATTTGGTGACCAGAGGAGTGGGAAATGAGTCATCCCTGTGCTGCTTCCATCAGCGGATGTTGCCAAAGTCAGGTCAGGTACTGACAGGCATCAGAGCTGGAAGCCTGGAATCACTGTGCTTCCTCATCTCCTAAGCAGAGGCGATGGCCAGACGATAAACAAGAAATCCTGAGGGGGCAAGGAGTGGCAGGGTGACTGGAAAGGAAAATAAAGGAGAAGAATACAGAAAGTGGAAGACATACTGTTCCTGAGTTGTTTGGAAGGAATGGTGAGGCTATTATGGGGCCCTCAAGGCAGTGAGGCTTAGGTTATTTATCTGCATGCCTTGCTCTATCTTAGAGAAAGAATTTGCAGTGTAGTGGCACCTGAGTGGAACTCTTTAGAACAGGGGTTCTCAATCTTTTTCTTTCAGAGGCCCCCGGAACATGCTATAAAAACTCCACGCCCACCTGTGCCAAAACTACTGGTTTTCTGCATATAAAATCCAGGGCTGGTTTTAGGGGGTGGCAAGCTGGGCAATTGCCTCATGCCCCATGCAACAGGGCCCCCCATGAAGCTAAGTTGCTCAGGCTTTGGCTTCAGCCCTGCGTGGCAGGGCTCAGGGCCCCAGGCTTCAGCCCCATGCGGTGGGGCTTTGGCTTTCTGCCTTGGGCCCCAGCAAGTCTAACGGTCCTGCTTGGGGATCCCCTGAAACCTGCTTGTGGCCCCCCCAGGTGGCCCTGGGTCCCTGGTTGAGATACCCACTGCTTTAGAACACACATCAGGGCACTCCTTATTTGTAACTACCCTATCTGCTTTGTATAATTCAATTCAGCCAATGGCGAGTGCCCAACATCCTCCTCGCTCTGAGTTGGCTGCAGAGCTTGTAGTTGCAAGTTGCTTGGCTTCCAATAGTTTGCTGTATTTGTGGGTGCAGGGTAATGTCTCGAGCAGACAAATGTTGTGTGTTCTTTGGCTGAGTTTTGGCCAATATTGCCCATTTTGGGTTGCCACAGTGCACCAGACCCATGAGCCTCTTGGTTGGTAAAGGACATTAGTGAGACACCATGGCCACTGTTGGTGATATGCCAGTGTTTCTTTGATTGAAGGTAAGGAGACAGCTTCTCAGGGATGCACTGGTGGGGCCACTACTAAAGAAATTGTCTTGAGCCCAACAATCTCAGCTACTGACTCGCGTTGCATCTGCCTCTTTTGGGAAAGATTACCAAGACTTCCTCTTTTGGGAAAAATGGCCAAGCAGCTACGCCAGTGTCTACAGACTCTATATTCCCTTCAGCCTGATCAATCTCGGTTCAGACCAGATCTGAGGGACAGAAACTGCATGAGCAGTACTGATCACTCTCTCTTCCTGGCTCTGCCCAAAGCCAATGTATCTACAGTGATTGCATAAGATGTGCCTTTGGCCTGGCTGATCATAAAGGGCTGTTCACAAGGCTGTGAGGTCCCTAGCAGCAGTGGACAACTATTCTGAAATGGATTCATTCCTGTTCAGAAGAGGAATTCCAAGGGGTAATCATGGATGATTGTTTATCCACCCAAGAGCCCTCATGTAGGGTACTGCAAAGGTTCTGCTCTGTTGTCTTTCTTAGTCAATGTGTATATTAGGCTGCAAGGAGGATTAGTAAGGAGACAAGAGCTGCTGTGTCTATAACGTGCAGATGATATTCAGCTCCACTCTTCTCAATTACAGTTGATCCCACCAATGAATCTGAAAGGATAACCAGACATCTAAAGGAGACTGGGGTTCGGAGGAGGGTTGGCTGACCGAGGCTATGTCCAGGTGAGACCGAGAGATAATGTTAGAAAGTTGGGGGAAGCAGCCAAGTGAACTGGCTGGAGTTATCTCAGCTGCAATGTGTGATGGGGCCATGATCTGTAAATCAGGGGTGCAGTTTAGACTATTGTTGGAGACGCAAGTAGTAGCTGTGTCCAAGAGCATTTTTTCCCCACCTGCTTGGTAAGGGGAGTGTGCTCTTCGGTTTCAAACGTGGACCATGCTACACTTATCCATGCCTTTGTCACTTTGAGATAAAGACCTTTGTAATGCACTCTACTCAGGGCTACATTCTGATACCATTCAGGAACTTCAGCTAGTTCCAAAGGTGGAGGCCTGCTTACAAATAGTATATGCTGGAGCTCATAGCACTGCTGCTCCGAGAGCTGCACAGGTTGCCTGTGGGCTTCCAGATGAAAGTCAAGGTGGCAGTCTTGGGTTTTAAGGCCCAGGTTACCCGAGGGATTGCCTCTCCCCTTGGACCATACAAACACAGTTGCAGTCAGTGGAGGCCCTAGAAATGGAACTCCTCTGATACAAAAGAAAAGGGACGCTTCATTTTACTTTCATGCTTGGCCTGCTGGAGTCCAGCTTCATCCACCTTCTCCACAGGCTACAAAGCTCATCTTCCTTTGTGGCGTTTGGGGAGGAGACAGGATGTGGTTAGCTGCTATATGGTGTAATTACATAGTGGGACTGGATTGGGTTACAATTATGGGCCGCTGGCAAGGCACTAATTAAGTTTATTATTGTGCATTTTAAAATATTGGAAGGGTGTCACAGAGCTTGGGAGGGGAGCTTCTAGCATGCATGTTTTAGAAATCTAAACGAACAGAAGGCATAAAAATGCATGACTGTATTAACAAATGATGCAAGCATTTCCAACAGACAGATTTTATGTAACAGTAGCCTTGTATATAATCTGATTTGTGTGTTACTCAAGGTTATCTCCATACAGTACCATTTAACACTGCATGCAAATCTCACAGCGAGATATATTTTAGCATTGAGAAGTGGATTTAAAGTGCAATTAAAGTTTAGAGTTGGAAAACCCTTTCACTGGTCCCGCAGACTTATTTCTTACCTTGTGGATATAGCCACATCCACTCTCCACTTAATGTCATTAACACTTGGCAGCTTATTTCCTTGTTTCGTAGTTGTGGCTTCAACAACAGGACGCCTGGAAGATAAACCAGGGAAGGGAAATTATGAAGCACACATGTAAGGCAAAAATCTAAAGGGAAAAAAATATGCCTCAGTACAAACATGTTTCCCCTCTGCGTCTAGCATCATTCAGAGCACTCTGAACAAATTAAGGTTTTGTAAAGGGGCTGCATCTTGTGCTCACACTACACACGTGCTTCTTGCCTTTTGCTGCACTTTTCAACAGATAATTTATCGAACTCCTGTGTGTAATTTCAGTAAACTGAGGTGACAGTAATGATCTGTCAAAGGGTTATGGTAGAGACCTGAGTGTTGAAATTGGAATCAGAATAATATATAAGTCAGTGATGCACTATTAACAACTAAGGTCCTTCTGCCAATATACCTTTATCTCCATGTGAGGCCAGCACTAGCAAGGAAGAAAGAGGGTTTAAACACAAACACCCTCCTCCCCAACTGCCCTCCCCTCAGCAAACACATACAGCACTGCTGCAACAGAGCACGCCTAGTGTCAATTAACATCAAGTTTAAAAAACAAAAGAAAAGATAATGTTAACATCAGGGAGCCGTCTGAAGCGTGCAGTAAAATGTCATCCCTGGATCCTTGTTAGAGTATGTAAAGTGGATCGGATTAGAGTTCCTTATGTAATGCACAGTCACAGCAAGCCCCGACGTGGCTTTTATGATTTTGTCTAGTCTAATAAATGAAAGTTTTGGCTTCTTACACATCGTATTTTGTAGCAAGAGTCACACATGCTGGGTTTAGGTGTATTTCTATGAGAAAATGCAGTTGACGGTGATTAAACTTCAGATGCCTGGCAGTCTTTAAAATTTTAATAGCATCTTAAACTCCGAGTAAGTAAACAAGCCAAATCTGATACAAAGACACAACAAGCATCCATTTTTAGATTTACTCACAAACTATCTCCAGAAGAAGGTCACTCAGTGGTCTGCTGGGGAGACAGTCTGAACTTCGTGTTACTCATTCCTTTTTTTTTTTTTGTCTAAGCTTCTTGTGCCAGGGTAAGTTATTTATGGTACATTTCAAAGCTACTCCAACCAAGGGCTGGATGATGCTCCACATAATCTAATTACATACTTTATTTCAGAAGAGATTCCTCTTTTCACAAACGAGGATACATTCGCTCGATAGTCTAATGGCTATCCCTACTCAGATCCAGGCATACCGTTTCCTTGGTGTCTGCTTATAATTTGTCCAGAGAAATTAGCAGTTAGACAAAGGTGTGTAACACGGACAACCTAAGGTAGTATGACGTTCTCGTGTAGAGCAAAGGCCAAACCTCCCCCCACCCAAGTTATTTTTAGAACTGAGAGGCATCCCTGGTAGTGTGGACAAAAACAAGAGCAGAGGAAATAGATCATCTGGCTCTTGCCCATAGTCAGCCTGTGGATAAGAAGTAGGTCAACACAGCTGGGTGCCACTACGAGGAGTCAGAGCCTAGAAATGGGCATTAGCAGAATCCTGACAGGATTAAATATTATAAACATGCCTTCCCCTCAATGGCGAGCTGCTGCAGGGCATCGTTTGTAGGGAGATCACCTCAAAAATATCCAGGCTGCAATTTGCTGCTTTTGTATGTGCTAATGTCAGTCAGTGGAAGACACTTCAATTAGGCAGGAGGGTCTTGGGGGGAGAGGTGGAATAAGAAGTCTTCTTCCATTTTCTAGGTTGCGGGTGGTTGGCGTTAAAGGTCCATAGTGCAAACAAGTGTGATAAGACTTAGCGTCAGACTCTCACTTAGAAGTCACAAAAACTCTGTGGCCAAAGTTTAGACCAGGGGTCTCAAACTCAATTTACTTTAGGGCCAGTGCCAGTCCTCAAATCCTCCCAGTGGGCCAATAATGTCACTCATGCTGCCCCCCCCAACACTCCGCCCCCTGCCTGCCTAAGGCTCTGGGAGGGAGTTTGGGTGGGGGAGGAGGTGCAGGGTGCAGGCTCTGGGATGGGAGTTTGGGGTG